CCTGAGGATCCCCAGGAGTGGGAGTTGTCATATCAGGTGGATGAGGCTCAGTTACTTACCAGTGAGCAGCTTTGAGCGGGTCCCTGAGCCTCTCCATACCTCAGTTTCCTCATCTGTAAAATGGAGATAACAATAATTCCTTATAGTGAGAATCCCATGAGATGACGTTGGTGTTGTGCTTTGTACATGCCTTATGAGCAGCTTTGAGCAGGTCCCTGAGCCTCTCCATACCTCAGTTTCCTCATCTGTAAAATGGAGATAAGAATAATTCCTTATAGTGAGAATCCCATGAGATGACGTTGGTGTTGTGCTTTGTACATGCCTTGATAAGTGTAGTTGTTACTTAATCTGTTTACTGTTATATTTGCTGAGAAATCCAGCCACCTCCCATGCCCTCCTTTACCTGGCCAGTCTGGTCTCTTGCCGCTGTCTGGGAGATGGGCTCTTTGCTCTTTCTCAGACTCCTGCCTTCTCTCTGCTTCCAGCTTTGAAAGCCAGCACATCCTTCTGAGAGGTGACAAGGGAAGCAGGTGAGGAGGGAGAACTCGGTGTGGGGAGTGGGGGTTCTGCCCTGATCCCCATTTCCTACAGGTGTCCCCACCCCCAGACCCATGCTGGCCACTCTCAACCCTAGAGTAAACTGCCCAGGTCTGGCACCCTAAAATCAATCACCACTTCTGTAACACCCAGCCCCCGCATATAGATGGTCAATAATCAGCTGCCTGAAATCTCTCGCGGAAGAAGGCAGTGCAGAAGGAAGGGAGGGAAGGCATGACACGGCGGTGCCAGAGCAAAGCACGTGCTGGCAGATTGCTGCTGTGTGGGAGGAGACGGGAGCAGTTCTGTTTCTGTCTCTCGGGGACTTGTCGACTCAGGACTTTCTATGAGTCACTGCCCTTTCGCAGCCTGAGTATCACATTGGAGAAGCCAAGAACCGTTGGTGTGCTGGAAAAAATGTTCCACGTCTCCGCATTAAACAATGAACAATAGTTTTAGCTGTCACAGATGTTCGCAGCTGGCCTAGTGGGATGCCCAGCCACACTTGGGAGGGCTGGCAGCAGAAAGGGCGGCCTAATGTGGGACCAGCTGGGCAGAATGGATTCACAGCTGACGTGTCAGGGAAAAGCAAAGCCATACAGTGGGCTATCTGAAGCTGGGGTGGCCCAAAGCCAGGTGATCTTGCTACCTGGACTAGAGTTTCTGGGGATCCTTTAGGTTTTTGAAGCCAAAAGAATGGAGGTACAGGAAGGCAGAAGTCATGCGAGTGCCGAGGAGGTGGTCAGAGAGGGAAGAGGCTCTGTCTTGGATCCTCCCACCTGATCAGGGGCTGCCCACCTGGACAGGTGTAAACGGCTGGCTTTTCTCACCCTGGCTTCCCTTTCTTGGGCCTCAGTTTCCTCATCTGTACCCTGAGGAGCAGGACTAGGATCTAATGATTTGAATTTCCGTAGGACTCCTTCCAGCACTGACTTCCTGGGCCTTAGTTTCCCCATCTGTACAATGAGGAGCTGGACTGGGATCGAGTGACATGATTGTCTGTAGGACCCCTTCCAGCCCTGACTTCTGAGTCTAGGAGTCCAATGTGGATGATTGAAACTTTCCTTTCAAATTGTTTTCCCTACTCCAAGGGCTATATCGGCTGGTGGATCTTTGCCAGAGTTCTCAGCAGGAGCCCAGTCCTTGGAGTTTGGTCAGCGCCGCATCCCCAGGAGTTTTCGGTACTCTCACCCACTTCCTGTTTGGGGTAACCACAATGGGGTGAAGGGTCAGGGAATAAGGAGAGCCTGGGGGGCTAGGGATGAGGATTGGGATAGAGGGAAGAGGAAGCATCTGAGAGAAGGGGAAAGGAGAGGGGCGAGTGTGAGGGCTGGGGGTGAGGGCTGGGGGTGGGGACTGCTGGCCCCTTCAGAGCAGCTTGGCTGACCCAGGCCTCAGAATTCCCCTTAGAAGATTCCACATTTCTCTGAAGCAAACACTCATATTTGAGTCACTCCTTGCCTGGGGGTGCCATCTGCTTTGGGGGATACCCATTTTCCAGAAAGCAAGGGGCTGGCCTCTCTCCCCAAATATACCACCTGTCTATAAGAAAGGCTGGGGTGTAGAGAGAAAGGCAGACAGCTCCTGCTGGAGCCTGGCCTGGGAGTTAGGAGCTTTCCCAGCTCTGCTGTGAGGGGCTGTGAGACCCTGGCTGGGCCCCTCCCCTCTTCAGGCCTTGGTTTCCTCACCTAAGAGAGGGACACCTAAGCTGAGACCTGAACAGGACTGTCCAGGCGAGGAGAGCGAGTCGTGTCTCTGGAAGGGCAGCATGTATGAAAGCTCAGAGAAGCACAGGCTTGGCTCGTGGGCAGCACTTCAGTGTGGCTAGAGCACACGCGGGGGAAGAGGCAGTGAGGTCGTGGGAAAGGCAATTCGCTTTTAGCCTAAGGGTAATGAGGAGCCACAGAAGATTTTAAGCAGGGGAGAGGCCTGGTCAGATTTGCAGTGTTAAGGGATGAGACACTTCGAGGGTGGAGAGGGATAGTAGGGAGACAGGAGTGGAAGCCTGGAGGGTGTTAAATGCTCCAGGTGGTGAGGATGGTGGCCTGGGCTCAGGCAGGGACAGTGGGAAGGCTCTGGAGAATCACTAGGCGAGAGCAGCTGGGTGCTCAGGAGCCTTTGGTGTTGCTCTCAAAGTGTGCAAATGGGGGCCGGAGGGGAGATGGGAGAGGAGAGAGTGCCCTGAGGGGGAAGAAGTCTGCTGCCTGCAGCTTGGGGAGGAGGGATGTTGGGAGAAGGAGAGAGCCCCTGGGGCTGGGCAGGGGCCCTGGGCCCTCTCAGATCCCCTGCCCTGCCCACTGTCCCTTTCCAGCCTCAAGGAGTGTCAGCTTGAGCCCCTGAGCCTCACCCGCCTCTGTGCAACTCTGGAGGATGTCCCAGGGCCACTGGAAGTCCAGTAAGTAACAAGACACAGCCCCAAAGGGCCCAGTGTAGGCCACCTGCCCAGTGACCTGGGAGGGGGCTTTGTGGTTAGAGGTCAGGTGAGTCTTTCCCAGCCCTTTCCCACCAGACCCCACCAGCCCTACCCCATGGGAGTTCCTTGACCTCTTGGTAGACGGTTGGCTGTCTCCTGGTAGCCCTCAGCCTCAGGCACCCTCCCCTCCCAGTGAGAGATGCTGTGCTGGGCCTGGGGAAGGCCTTTACCCTCCCCATCCACTGGACTCAGGGCACCTGGGAGTCCTGTCTGCCCCCGACCCCTGAAGCCCCCACCCAGGCACCCACTGGGGCCTCCCTCTGTGGCTGGAGCTCATCACTCTGAAAGCCCTTCCTTGGGGAACCCCTCTTTCCTGGGGTTACTATCTCACCCACCCCAGAACATTGGGTCTCTGACCAGAGACTGGACTTGGAATCAGGAGTCATGGCTCCGCCACCTACAAGCTGGGTGACTTTGGGCAAATGGCTTTTACTCAGCTTCTTAATCTGCAAAGTGGACAGTCAGCCTTTCCTTTTGTGGTCATTGTTGTGATTTCATGACAATAATTACCTTAAAATAAAGAAATCCAAGACAAAACCTGCCTCTTTCTCTCAACTCAAAGTTGTCATTTATCCAGGTGACCTCCTACTCCTTGTCCATCTGCATATCCAGTTTTTACCTATGTGCAGTCATAGGCTAGGTGCCATCTACAGTTTCATCTACATCACATCATATGTGGTCTTCCATCTTTTGCTACAGTCTTTTTTTTTGCTTTCTGACTCCCTTCTCAAATGCCCTTCCTGCCCCTCCAACAAGATAATCCGTATTGACCTGTGGTATGTGTCCTTCCCAGGCCCTTCTCCAGATTCAAACACATACAGACATGGACAGAGAGGGCTGGCATTGTTTGACAGGCATGGCACCTTTCCATGTAAGATCTCTGCAGCTAGCTTTTGTCTCATAACTACACAGTGTTGCTTTCCCTGAATATCATGACATGTGGATCCAACCCATTTTTTAATAAAATATTTTAGAATAGTTGTAGATTTGATTTACAGAAAAGTTGCAAAGATAGTACAGAGAATTCCCTCACCCAGTTCCCCTTGTTGCTAACAGCCTACGTTACCATACATTTGTCACAACGAAGAAACCAACATGGCTATTAACTGGACTCCAGACTTTATTCGGATTTTACCAGCTTTTCCACCAGTGCCCTTGTTCTGATTCAGAATCCCCTTCAGGACCCTGCATTGCATTTAGTCATCCTGTTCCTCAGCCTCCTCTGGTCTCTGACAGTCTCTCGTTCTTTCTCTGTTTTTCACGTTCTTGGTAGTTTGTAGAAGTAGTAGGTAATTGGTAAAGTGTTCCTCAGTTGGGGTTTGTCTGATGTTTTACTCGTGGTTAAACTGGGGTTGGGGTTGGAGGAAGAACTCACAGAGGTGAAGTGCCCTTCTCATCACATCATCGCTGGGGCGCATGCTGTCATGTCAACTTGACTTATCACTTGGATGTTGACCTTGGTCAACTGGTCAAGGTGGCCTTTGTCAGATTTTCCTGCTGTAAAGTTACTTTTTAATTTAAAAAACACTTTTCTCATGGAGACTTTCAAGTATATATAAATGTAGGGAGAATAGTGTACCCTCCACCTATCTCAATAGTTTTTATTTCATGGCCCCAACACACACATGCAAGCGCACACACACAGGCACACATGCACACACGTGCACACACACATAGAGTTTGAAGCAATTCCCAGGTACCTTAAAATTTCATCTGTAAATATTTCAGTATATATAGCTAAAAGATAAATACTCTTTTTTTTTAACTTAGCCACAAAACCATTATCAGCCCTAAAGTATTAATGGTAATTCTTTAAAATCACCAAATATCCCACCAATGTTCAATTGTCCCTCATTGTCTCTAATGTGTTTTCTGCAGAGTTATAGTCATAGTCTTGCCTTTTAATGGCAACCACCACAGTGTGGATGGCCAGAAGTGATTCAGCAACCCGCCACTATGGTCTAGATAGTTATGCACACAGCATCAGGTGTTTTGCTGTTATTTTTCTTCTGCATTACTCTTCCCTTATTTAACTGTTACCTGCTGTATACCAGGCACTGGGTGAGGTCCTAGGGGCCAAAGGATGGCTATGTGCAGACACTGCCCACCGGGGCTCAGCACCCACAGTGCTGGGTGATCTCAGCACAGGTGGGGGTCTACGGCCCCTCGCTCAGCTGTGGTGGGAGGAAGTGGGATAGTGAGTATAAAAGCACTTTGCGGAGGGTAGAGTGCTGTGACCATTGGCAGGATTATCATTATCAACAATCATCAGGGCACTCAATGCTGAAGTCCAGTGTTTGGCCAACTGTGTTCTGGGATTCTCCTGGGAAGGACAGGGAAGGTGGTAAGGCTCTAGCCCCTTCCCCAAATTCAACCACTGTGGGTCCACTTTGCCCATGAACATATTGGTATACCATGTGGGATGTTGTAGTGGTAAAGCCTCCATTGCTTTTAAAAAAAGTGTGTAAACCCCACCTTTACCCCAACCAGGGGCCATAGCACTGTGTCTTTGGGGTCTGGTGGGAAGCCATGCAGGGAGGTGTTCGTGGAAAGAACATTCGTCAATGAAGACCCCGGTTCTTCTTTTTTTTTTTTTTGGCAGCTGGCTGATATGGGGATCTGAACCTTACCCTGGTTCCAGTTCTGACTGTGCCTCAGGGCCCCAGGGACTTCCCTGGGACAGAAGGGTAGAGCTGAGCCTGCAGCTGGGCCCTGGCAGAGGTTCCCCTATGAGGCTTCCAGCTCCAGAACCACAGGCTGCTCCTCCCACTCAATCTGGCAACAAACCGATGCTGGGTTCCTGCACCCCCCATCTCCTTCCCCCAACCAACCAGAGAATAAAGCCATGGAGTTGGGCCAGGCCCTTGGAGGCCACAGTGAAGAAAAGGGCAACTGGCAGGGGGCAAAGGAACAAGGCAGAGAGAGGGTAGCAAAGGGCAAAGGTAGCGAAGGCAGAAGAAGAGCACAGTGGCCTGAGTCCCCCAGTGCAGGGACTGCACATATGTAAATCAGGGTGCTCAGAGACCTGGCTGTCCTTGTCCTCCAGTAGAACAGATACTGAAGGCTGGGTATCTGTAGTTTCTCCTAAATGCACTGGGATCTGGCGATTCCTCTGGACAAGTGATGGGCTGGTCATTCTGGTTTTGGTGGCAATCAGACCTGAGCTAGCCCACGTCTCTTCTTTGCTGACCTGTTACACGCCTAATTTCCTCCATCATCTTCACTGCTTCAGCCTCAGGCAGCATTCTTAACAAATATGTTCCACAGAACACTAATCTTCATGGCCCTCAAATAATAATTCTGCTAGTCCATTTAGTTTGGGAAACAGTCTACCATAGCCTCTTGGAAATTCACATTTCACAGCAGCACAGTAAAGGCTCAGAGAAGTCCTGCAACAAAGAAAGCAATTTAATTTGGCTTATCTGACCTTCCTCTTCTTCCAGCCTCAAGGATAACTCAAGGACCCTTTGTTGGGAGGGAATGTTTCAGGCAGTGATTAGGTCTCATCTCCACAATTTGTGGCTATGAGGCCGCACTCCCCACTTTTCTGGAAGGTTCCCCACACCTCATTCAAATGCTTTGTTTCACAGATTGTCCTGTGGGGTCCTGAGAGACAAGAGCCTGGAGACCCTGCTGCACTGCTTATGCCGACTCCCCCAGCTAAGCCTGCTGCAGTAAGACTCAGAGGCTCCCCTTCCCCGTTCCCATTTCCCTGTGTCTGTGTCCCGGAGGCTCTTGGGTTGCAAAGCCTTCCCCACTTCCGCCTCTTTCCTTCCCTTGGGTGGTTCCACCATTTTATCTGGCATAAGTGGGGACTCAAATCTGCTTCCACCTCTTCCCTAATACTTTGTCAACCTCAGGGTAAGTTAGTTGCCCCTTCTGGGTCTCAGTTTCATTATCTGATGAATGGGATTAACATTCCCCACCCCACCCCCACCCCCGCCCAGGTTTGGGACTCAAACAAAACAGTTGCTCTAAAAGCACCTTGAAGAATGGAAGGCTTGTGACAAACGGGCTGTCATACTTCTCCCCACCCACGGAAAGGTCACCTGCCCCTAGTAAGGGACTGTACACATGTATGTCTTGTGTTTGTCAAAAACCATTTTTTTAAAGGTCACCATCTAACTTCATAAAAGGGGTATTTAAGCAGTGCCCCCCAAAGTATTTAAAGCTCTATTTTCTAATTTCAGCTCAGACTGGTTAGAATTTAAAAAGGATTTACTTCAAATATTCTTCTAGCGGGGGGAAGGCAGCTGCAGCTGAGATGGAAAAATACAACAGGAAATTAAATCATGGTACTAATAACACTGTTGTGCTAGGGCTGAGGCTGTCTGGGATGCCTAAGACAGTTCACGTCACCTTCAGGATCTCACTTATCCCAACTTTCCCAGAAAGAATGGGTCAGGAAGGGCTCCTTTATACGAAAAATATGGCAGGTTAAAATGAACAGATGGGAAATCTCAGACCAGAGATGGACTTCTCTATACCTCTGTCACACAGCATCAGCCCCAACTCCTCATCTTTCTTTGGAAGGAGGTGGCCAGCCTGACCCTTACCTGGGCTTAAACTCTGTATTGCTCAGCCATAGTGCTTGTGCTCCTACTGAGGGCCAGGCACTGTTTGGGGAGCTGGAGATGCAGCAGAGAAAAAAAATGACTAGGTTCTTGTCTTCTTGGAGCTAATCTTGTAGTAGAGGGTATTGAACAACAAGCAAAGTAAAATCAAATAAGATGAACTTAGCCAGTAATAAGGTCATTTCCCATGTGACATAGTAAAGAGTGGCAGGAGAGGTGATTTAGATGGTGGCAGAAGTGGTCTGGGAACGACTCTGAGGACAAACGCTAAGCTGTGATCTGAAGGAGGAGAGGCAGCCAGCCTTGTGAAGAGCAGGGAACTGCATTCCAGGCAGCAGGAACAGCATGTGTGAGACTCTGAGGTGTGAGTGAGCTTGGTGGGCTCCAGGAACAGCCTGGAGGCCGATGTAGCCATAGCACAGTGGTTGGCAGGGAGAGCCCTAGGAGAGGAGGTGGAGAGATGGACCAGGGCTGAGTTACACAGGACTTGGTAGTCATGGGGAGGAGTTTGGAGTTTCATCAAGGGAACTTAAAGGCAGAGGAATGATGTGGGTTATCAAAAGCTCAGTCTGCCTGCTGGGTAGAGAAAGAATTGAGAGGATAGAGTAGAGATGACAGCAGAGAAGCTGCGTGCAGCCAGGTTGAGGGATGATGAGGGCTGACAGTGGTGGGGGAGGGATAGATGGATTCAGGGTGGACCATGGGAGTGGAACTGACCAGACAGACCAGGCAAGCTGATGAAGCGTTTATGGGGCAAGGGAGATGGAGGTGCTGAGGATGCCTCTGAGGGCAAGATGGACCCATCTCACTTCTCACTTTCTCTCTGTCTCATTTTTTTTGGCATCCAGCTGGTACAGGGATCCAAACTCTTGACCTTGGTGTTACTAGCACCATGCTCTAACCAAATGAGCTAATGGACCAATCCACCATCTCACTTTCCCTAAGGTGGTGGTTCACAACTGGGGGTGATTTTGCCCCTCAGGGGACACTTGTCAATGTCTGGAGATAATTTTGGTTGTTGCAACTGGGGGCAGGGGATGCTACTACTAGCGTCTAATGAGTAGAGATCTGGGATGCTGCTAAACATCCTGTAGGACATAGGACACCCCCCACAACAATTATCGGGCCCCAAATCTCAATAGTGCAGAGGATAAGAAATGCTGCTCAAAGGGCCTGAAGCTTCCCACTCTCTGTCAGCAGGGACTCGCCTGTGAAATCTGTGCTTGCAGGTGAAATCAACAGTAGTAATAACAACAAGCATGGGTACCATGCCAAGTGGTGCACCAGTTTGATCTGATTAAATCCTCACACAGAGAGGAAGGTATGTCATGATTAGTCCTGTTTTCCAGATAAGGAAACTGAGGCTCAGAGAGGTTCGAGGTCACATAGTTAGTAAGCACAACTGGGACTCAAACCCAAGTCCGCTTGACTGCAATCCCCTATTTATCTCTCTTGAGTCCCTGTCTTCCTCCTTATTGCCCTGCTGAGCTGCCAGCACTCCAATCCTCCTTTTCCTTCCCCTCCAGCCTATCCAGGTTGCCTGTCCACTGATCTTGCTTGGTTTTGCCCCTTTCTTTCTCAGGCTGAGCCAAACAGTACTGTCCCCAGGAAGCCCCTTCCTGCTGGCCAACATCGTTAGCATGTGCCCACGAGTTCAGAAGGTGGATCTCAGGTGGGCATTGCCCTGGGACAACTGGGACTAGTCCTGGTGGGTTGTGCCTGGAGTCTGGTGGGTGTGAGGGGTTAGAAGGAGACAGTAGGACCCAAATCAGAGGCGAGGAGGGGTACCTGTGCCCTGGGAGCATGCTGAGGCTGTGGCCAAGGATGGCTGATCCATGTGCTGTCTGCTCCAGGCCCCCGCATAATGTGACCCTGCACTTCAGGTCTAGTGAAGAGCAGGAAGGCGTGTGCTGTGGGTAAGTCTCCCTGAACCATGCCCTGTCAGCCAGTGGTGTTGGGGACCAGGAGACCTGTCTGCTGGGTGGCCAGAGCAAAGTACATGCGGCCTGCTGCAGAACATTCCCCTGGAAGAACCCTGTGAGGGGACTTGTTTAGCCCAACATGAAGAAGCAGAGGTCCAGAGAGGGCCAGGCTGGGTTCTGCCCTGGAAGAACCCTGTGAGGGGACTTGTTTAGCCCAACATGAAGAAGCAGAGGTCCAGAGAGGGCCAGGCTTCATCCAAGGGAAAACAGAGTCCACTTCAGACTGGATGAGATCTCAGGGTCCTGCGAAAAGGGCTTCACAGCCTGCCTACCAGGTTTTAAACCCCACCTTCAGAGGGGCCCAGGACTTTGGGTAAGCTGCTTAACCCCTCTGATCCTCAGCTTCCTATAGAAGGGAGCCACACCGTTGCAGGGCATTTGTAGGATTAAACAAAGTAACATGTAAAAAGCTTCAGGTACTCAGATGTGGATGACCTTCCCCTGCTGACGTCTGGACCTGTGCTCTGTGGGTGCCTTGGGATGGGAAGGAGGAAGGGATTGCACTGGAGGCAGGATAAGGGGGCAAGAAGGCGACCTTGAATGCAAGATGTTTCTGGTAACAATTTGGTGCCACCAGCTCTCCAGGAGACCTTGGACCAGTCCCTTCTCCTCTCTGGAAATAACAAAAGACAGAATAGCCAACATTTGCTGAGCACTATCTGCAAGGCACCACTCTAAGAGCTTTATGCATATGACCTCTATAAGCCTCATGGAGCTGGAACTTGAACCTGGCTGGGCTCCTGGCCCAGGGGTGAACAAACTTTTTCTGTAAAGGGTTAGATAGTAAAAATTTGGGATTGTGCAGGCCGTAGGGACTTTGTCACAGCTACTCAACTCTACCCTCTCAGCTTGAAAGCAGCACAGACAATATTTAAACAAACGAGCATAGCTGTGGGCCAGCAACACAGTATTTATTTGAATTGTATTTAATGCTCATGTGTCATGAAATATTCCTCCTCTTTCTTATTTTTTTCTCAACTGTATGAAAATGTAAAAACTATTCTTAGCTCACAGGCCCTACAAAAACAGGAGGCTGGGAGCTGTATTTTACTGACCCCTGACCTAGCCCAACACTACTCTGACTTGATAGTTTCTAAGTTGTTATTTTCCAAAATATACGACATAGACATGGATGAGATAATTTTTAGGAGGTTGGGCTGATAGTAGGGTAGTTCAGCATCACTGAATCCCTTAGTGAGATCATTATTCCTTTCCATTTTTCTTCCTGATTAAGGCCAAGAGGAAGTCTTAGTCGGGTGTTAATGCATCTTTAACGCCTCTCTCGCACTTACTAAGCTCCCTTTTTAATAAAGGGAGAGTCCTCAGCAGATGTCAATATCTGGCTCAAATTCAATGATGGTATTTTGCTTTCATTTCATGTGTTCTTAAGCTTATGATCTATAACATGCAATTCCAGTTTTCCATTTAAGTTAGTGATACGATACAAGGTTTATTTTTTACAATAGATATGTTAAATAAAAAGGATGAGCTGGCTTAAAGAAATATGAAGTAAATAAGAGTATAATAGGGAATTTAGGGATATGGAAAAAATCATGAAGGAGATTGACAGTGATAAAAATTTGAGACATTGTTCTCAGGGACTTAACTAATTTTAAGATTCTTTAAAAATTGCTCGCTGGTCTCATAGCCCCTTCATTTATCTTACCATGTGGTCCCATTTGGGGCCTCTCACCAGCAGACTTATTGTTACTTTAAATGTCAGCATCAATAGTCCCTGGCAGGAGTAGACATCCTCCTTATTCTCCACCACCACCATGTCTGTTCTTTGAGGGTGGGGCCCAGTCATTAAAATGTGCTTCAACTTGAGCTTGAATCAGAATTACCTTGAGGGTCTTGTCCCCAGAGTTTCTGATTCAGTGGGTTTTGGCTAGGGTCCCAGAATTTGCATCTCAAGTTCCCGAGTGATGCTGATACAGTTGATCAGGGACCATACTTTGAGAAGCACCTCCCAGGGGGAGGATGTAGGTGCCAGGTGGGATCTGCTGGGGGGGTGGGGAGCAGTGGATGCTGGATAATTCGAGAGGGTCTAAGCTTGGGTGGGGAGCTCAGAGGCTGCACTTAGGACTTGCCAGGGTAGAGGTGGTATGAATGGCCGAATACTCCGTTCCGATTGTCCCACCACCCCACCTCTGCCCTGCAGGTTTACAGGCTGCAACCTCACCCAGGAGCATGTGGAGCCACTGTGCTGTTTGCTGAGAAATTGTGAAGACCTCAACCAGCTTGAGTAAGTTGGGGGAGGAACAGGAGGGAGAGCAGCGGCACCTGGGTGGTACTGGAGGGGTGTGAGTGTCTCTGTGTACATATGCACTCAAGTGTGCCTGCCTATACCTCTCAGGACCAGCTGTCAGAGGACACCTGGGATTCTGGGTCACACCCATAAGGCTTCTCTTTTAGTCCATTTGTGTTGCTATAACAGAAATACCTGACACTGGGTAATTTACAAAGAAGAGAGGTTTATTTGGCTTACAATTCTGGGACAGCTGCATTTGGCACGGGCCTCGGGCTGCTTCTACTCATGGAGGAAAGTGGCAGGCAGCTGGAGGGTACAAGCAGATCACATGGCAAGAGGAAGCAAGAGAGAGAGAGAAGGTGCCAGGGTCTTTTAAACAACCAGCTCTCGTGAGAACTAATAGAGCGAGAACTCACTCACTAATCCCCCTTCCCCCAGGGAGAGCATTAATCCATTCATGAGGGATCCACCCCCACGACTCAATCAGTTTCCAACACTGCCACATTGGGGATCAAATTTCCACATGAGTTCTGGGACGATAAAATATCCGAACTCCATCAGCTTCCCTGTACCCATTTTCTCTCTCCCACACCCCAACCCCTGCTGCGGTGGAGATAGTTTCATGGCGTGCCCCGCTAACTTGGGCAGCCCTTCAGAAAGGCTGCAGGAGGCCCTTGGCCTCACGTGGATCAAGTGCGTCCAAGCTCCGCTGGCAGAGGGATCCATTGGTTTGCCTGGCATGTGGTTAAAAGTATCAAATAACTGCATCTGAGATGGGACCCAGAGCCAGCCAGGGTGGGGCTTTCAGGCTTTTGTAGTATTGAGAATTGGTACCCTTGTGGTACCCTGTCTTGGGAGCCCAAATAGTTCTAACAATACTAACTAACATCTACTGAGAACTTTCTCCACTATTCTAAGTGCTTTACATGTTTGTTTTTGGCGGCTGGCCAGTACAGGGACTGAACCCTGGATTGTGGTGTTAGCACCATGTTCTGACCGACTCAGCTAACCAGCCAGCCCTACATGTTCTTTTTATTCTTCCAACAACTCTAGGGAGTATTTTGTCTGTATTTTACAGATGAGGGAACTGAGGCCCAGAGAGTTTAAGAACTTGCCCAAGGTCTCACAGCTAGTACAATGCAGAATCTTTGCTCACAATTGTTAGTCCAGCTTAGGACTGGTGGGATATAGAGAGAACTGTCTAAAAAACAAACAAACAAAAAAACAAAACCCACCTCACACAATTTCAATTTCCATTGTGATGTGGCCAAGAAGAGAAATGTGGCTGATGAAATGCATGTATTTTAGACAGGATTTTTTTTTTTTTTTTTCCTTTTTTGAGACCGGCCGCACCGTGCTCAGCCAGTGAGCGCTGTGAGTGCACCGGTCATCCCTTTGGAGGCCTCCGTGCCGCCTCCTTCACAGGGCCCTCTCCTCCTTCAGACACCCTGCTTCCGGCTCACTGCCTGGTTAGGTCCCCAGATTTGCCCCCATTGCCCCCATACCTCCGGTCTCAGTCAGGGCCTTCACATTGTGCGTGTGCCTTTTAGCCACGTCCTAACTATAAGTCCTGAGGCTTCTGAGTGTTGTGGTTAAAATTCTTGAGCCACTTGAGCATAAATCCCAGCTCTGCCACTTACCAGCTGTGTGACCCTGGACAAGTTGCTTACCCTCTTTGTTTCAATTCCTCATCTGTAAAATAGATGTTATTGTGGGTTATTGTGAGGATTAAATGAGTTAATATGTGTAAAGTGCTTGGAAAGGGCCTAGCTCATTGGACTGCTATACTGCAGCTATGAACATGGCTTCTGAACTGGATCCCTGCCTCTGGTCTGGCCTCCTCCAATCCATTCATCCCACAGGACCCAGAAAAATCTTTACAACACACACACCCAACTATGCCACTTTATTGCTCTAAGCCCTTCAGTGGCTCCCCATTGCCCCTAGGACGGAGTTAAAATTCCTTAGCCTGGTCTTCTCCTTCACAGTCTGATCCAGCTGTCTCCTCTGACCGTATTCTTCCCACCCACCACCACACCAAACACACACAACACACACAAAGCACACATACACCATATACACAGCACACATACGCGCACACACGTAAGCCACAAGGGACCTTTGCTATTTGTTCACGGAACACGCCCTGCCTGATGAGGCTTCCCTGCCTCTGCTCACACTGGACTCTCAGCCTGACATTCTCTTCCCTGCTTTTCTGAGAAAAAATTCTCTCAATCCTTTAAGACCCAGCTCAAGTGTCAGCCCCTCCTGGAACCTCGGAGTGGCCCTGTCGCATCTGTGAACCATCCGTGTGGTTCTTTGCGGCCAGCCGTCTGTGAGACGGTGGTCTGTGCCCGTCTGCTGGCCACCCGGGGATGGGTGCCTGGAGGGCAGGGCACACCCTCCCCGCAAGGGAGCCTCAGCAGCATGGAGAGTAGGGGAGCGGTTAAGGGCGTGGGGTCCAGAGTCAGGCTGACCTGGATTGAAACCCAGTCTGCCCTTATTCTCTCCAGCTGTGTATCCCTGGGTTAGTCTGTTTCCCCACCTATAAATGATGCCAGGAGAGTTAAATGAGATAGTGCAAGGCAGGTAGCGAGTCGGGGCTCCATGGTCACTTGCTCCCAGTGCTTTCCTGGGGGTAGGGAGAGATTCTCCACAAACGGACAGGAAGCTCCCAGGGCTGGAGCTGCATCTTTGGCCTTTCTCAGGCCCTGGTCCAGGCCTTTGCCCTCAGTGGGGCACTCCCCCAATAGGCCCTCGGGGAGACTGGGAGGAAGGAGGACAGCAGCCCCCACGGGCCCCACCCAGCCCCTGCCTTTGCCTTCTGCCCTCAGGCTGAGTGAGTGCGGCTTTGGGCCAGAGCACATGCCTGGCCTGGCCAGCAGCCTGAACCAGGCCCTCCAGCTGACAGAGCTCACGTGAGTGACCAGGCCCAGCCCATGGAGACAGCTGGGGGGGAGGGGGCACCCTGCCAGAGCCACCCCAGCAACTGTCCTCTGTCCCCAGGCTGACACGGTGCTGCCTGGGCTTGAAAGAGCTGACCCTCCTCCTGTGCCTGGTGAGGCGGCCAGTGGGGCTGCTCAGATTCAGGTATCTTCTTCCTCCCTTGCCCCTGGGAGGGGACCGTGGCATGACTGGGGGGTGGGGGCAGGCACTGGGGTACAGAACCTTCCAGGATCATGGCCTTGGCCATTTCCTTCACCCAGAACCCTGTCCATCTGTCCCAGAGATACCTCCCCCAACCCAAGGCACAGAGAAGCTGTCCCTTCACAGGGTGGGGCCTGGCCTGGGCTTTGGGATTTAAGGAAAAAAAAGATAGCTCCAAAGGATACCCAACAGAGGATATAAGTAATGTAAGACAAATATCATGTTTGTACATTCACCACGATAATTGTAAAACATTCAGAAAAAGAAGATACCAAAAAGTAGAGAGAATAATTTTTAAAAACTTATATTCCCATTACTTAGGTTTGACAATTGTTCATATTTTTCCATATTTGCTTCATATTTTTATTTTTTTGCCTGATGTGTTGTAAGTAAGTTATAGACTTCATAAAATATCACTTCTAAATATTTCATCATGGGCCGGCCAGTGGCTCACTCGGGAGAGTGTGGTGCTGATAACACCAAGGCCGCGGGTTTAGATCCCTATATAGGGATGGCCGGTTAGCTCACTTGGGAGAGCGTGGTGCCGACAACACCAAGTGAAGGGTTAAGATCCCCTTACCGGTCATCTTTTTTTAATTAATTAATTAAATAAATAAGTAATAAAAAAATTCATGAAACTCTAAAAAATAAGGACATTCTCTACATAATCACACAGTAGCAATTCCTTAGTGTCATAGATTACCTAGTCTCATCTAAAATTTCCCCAATGTCCCACAAATGGGATGGCTGGTGTGTCAGATCCAGGATGCAGGCAAGGTCCACATTTGCCTGGGGTCGCGATGGCTCTTATGACTCTTTTGGTCCGTGGCAACCCCCACTCTCCTCTTTCATGTCGACGACTATTGACAAAACCAGCCACTGTGCTGAAGACTGTCCACCCTCTGGCTCTGTCTGGCTGCTTCCCTGTGATCTCACAGAGATCATTCCTCTAACCCCTGACTTTCCTGCCCACTGGAAGTTAGGTCAGAAGGCTTGATGGGATTCAGTTACATATTCGTACCCAAAAACTGACTTCACGGCAGTGCTGTGTGCTTCTCATCGCAGCCTGTGATGAGGCAGATGAGGTCTGGTTGTTCCCCAAAATTACTGGTTTAAAATTGTGGTAAAATACACATAACATAAAATTTACCATCTTAACCATTTTTAGTGCACAGTTCAGTAGTGTTAAGCACATTCACGTGGTTGTGCAACCAACCTCCAGAACTGTTGTCATCTTGTAAAGATGAAACTACCCGTTAAACAACTCTTCCCCCGCTTCCCCCAGCCCTGGCAACCACCATTCTACTTTCTGTTTCTGTGAATTTGACTCTTCTAGGTACCGCATAGAAGCGGGATCATACCACATTTGTCTTTTGTGACTGGCTTATTTTACTTAGCATAATGTCCTCAAGGTTCATCCATACTGCAGCATGTGTCAGAGATTCCTTCCTTTTTAAGGCTGAAAAATATTTCACCACATTTTGCTTATCTGCTCATCCATCGATGGACACTTTCATTGCTTCCACATTTTAGCTATTGTGAATAATGCTGCTATGAACATGGGGGCATAAATATCTCTCCAAGTCCCTGCTTTCAATTCTTTTGGGTATATATCCAGAATTGCTGGATCACCCAAAACATTTTAAAATAAAACTTTTTTTTAGTCTAAAAATAATATGTACTCATTGTAGAAATTTGTGGAAAATCCAGAAGAACATAAAGAAGAAAATAATGCTTTAAAAAAATAACTCAAGGGCCGGCCCGGTGGCACACCACTACAGTGCGCCGCTTGGGAGCGTGGCGGCGCTCCCGCCGAGGGTTCGGATCCCACATACAGACTGGCCGCTCACTGGCTGAGCGAGGTGTGGGCGCAACACCGAGGGTTGCGATCCCGTTGCCAGTCCCAGTCCGGTACGGGCGCGACACTGAGGGTTGCGATCTGTTGCCGGACATGAAAAAAGACAAAAAGGAAAAAAAAAAATAACTCAAGGCAAATTTAAAGTGAGAATATTTTACATATATTTTTTCCCACTTCTAAATTAATACATGCACTGTAGAAAGTTTAGAAAACATAGAATACTAAAGAAGAAATAAAATAAAAACCACTCGTGAGAATTCTACCATCTAAACAACCACCATAAACATTTAGTATATTTTGGTCATATCACTCTCTTTTTCTCTGTGTTTTTTTTTTTTTTTTCACTTCATATCTTTTTTTGAAAATACAAAATTGGGGTCACATTTTATATCCGTCTTTGTTTCCTTACCTTTGCAATGTGACATTATGTGATCTTTTCTTAAATCTAAAAATATCATTTTAAAAAAATAACAGTTTCTGTTTGGATTGTTATGATAATAATTATTGGAATAAGGGGGATGTTAATTTCCTTCTTTATGCTTATGCCTAGTTGTATATTTCACAGTCTTAAAATAAGCAAAAAACAAAAACCCTTTAGGCCTCCTTTGACACTCCTCTCCCCACCCCCACCCCCAAACATGATGATCAGTTGCTGCTTACCCTAGAGGACCTTAAATATGTCTCATTCTGTGACAGGGTGGAGGAGCCGTGGGTGGGCAGAGTTGGGGTGCTCTCCCTGCTGCAAGTCTGCACCCAGGCCTCAGGCAATGTCACAGAAATAAGGTGAGTCCAGAGAGGAGACCCCCCTGGGAATTTGTCATCTTCTCATGACCATTGGGACCTTCTCTTGATCTTCTTTCATGTCCCTTGTCCTGTGTGGTAATAGCTGTGTCATTGGTGAGTTCTCTGTGTCCCCAAGATAGCAGGAGCTCCTGGGTAATCACGGAGGGCTTGCATGTTTGTTGGGACTTGTGTGGTAGTTAAGCTGCAGTGCCAGACAGAGGAGGCAGTCCTAGATTCAAGACAAAGGGATCCCAGGCAGACACGGCTGGGAGTCCACACTGGTTGCCTGGAATTGACCCCTGGATACAGCAACACACCTCATGGCTCTGTGACCAGAGATGACAGGATGACATGGAGTCACTAAGAGCAAAGGCTTTGGCATCCCTCTGATGTGTATTCAGATCCCAACTCAGCCACATACTGGTCTGAGTCCATTAGTGGGCCTCTCTGGCCTCGACCTCCTACTTTAAAAAGGGGGTATAATTAGGGCCGGCCTGGTTGCGCACTGCTACAGTGCACCGCTTGGGAGCGCAGCGGCGCTCCCGCCGAGGGTTCGGATCCCACATACAGACCGCCACTCACTGGCTGGGCGAGGTGTGGGCGCAACACCGAGGGTTGCGATCCCGTTGCCGGTCCCGGTCCGGTACGGGTGCGACACTGAGGGTTGTGATTCGTTGCCGGTCACGAAAAAAGACAAAAAGGAAAAAAAAAAGGAGGGGTATAATTATACCCACTTGCAGGGCTGAAGGGTTAGAAGAGCTGGAGCATGTAAGACATCTGATGTGCTGTCACCAGCTGCACAGCCTGCCCCTTGTTCCCACCCTCCTGCCTCTAGGAGTCATCAAGGAGATGCTGGGACACTTGAACATCTCCCTCAGCCCTCTCCCCACAGCCATCCCCACAAACATAACACTCAAGTAAAGGTTGGGAGCTCAAAGCACAAATGCAGCCTGCAGACAAGCCCCCACCCCACTCTTCCATCACAGTGTAGCCTTTGAGCCCCCCAGAAAATTCTGAAATGCCCTTAGATACCTCTAATGGCTTTCTATCACGGTCTGCAAAGCCTCGTCAACTTATTAACTTAAAATTGCTGAAAAGGCACTACTTTTGGGACTCGGGGAAGCAACTGCTTTTCTATCCTAAGCTGGGCCCTGGCAGGGAAGGAGGGGACCCATATGAAGGGTCTGGGAGCTCAGAGTTGGAGGCCGGGCAGCCCCAGTGCCAGCTCAGCCTGCCCAGCAAAGCCAACACGGGCCTCACGCTGCCTACCCCTCCCCTCCTCAGCATCTCCAAGACCCAGCAGCTCTGTGTCCAGCTACAATTTCCTCTTCAGGAAGAGAATCCAGAGGCTGTGGCCCTCAGGTGGGAACCAGCACCTGGGGTCCCAAGGGAGTGGCTGGTGTTGTGGGTAGGAATGGGGGGCACAACTGTTTCTGACCAATATTTCTCTTGCCCCTGCTCAGAGTCCTTTGATGCCCAAAGTCTTTACATGGTCTTTGTGGTCTGGCCCAACCCCAAATCCCAGTGTCAGCTCGTCATCCCCAACAGACAGCCTTCAGTTCCTTGAACACCAGTTTGCTCTCTTTGACCTCAGGACCTTTGCACATGCTGCTCCCTCTGTCCAGAATGTTCTCTTCTCATCTACCTCTTCCTCCTTCTTCATCTGGCTATTCCTCCTGATTCTTTATGTCTCAGCTTAGATGCCACCACTTCAGGGAGGTCCCCTGATCCCCAAGTCTTAGTCATGTACTCCCACTATCACTCTTAAAGATACCTTGATTCACAGCACCTCTAATCCATACAGCACATTTTTGGAAGTAAAGATGTCACTCTTTCTGAATAGATGCAGCCCTGCATGTATACATTCTGGATAATAGAACATAGCTGGATCTCAGTCCCATCTCACTTTTTTGACTAAATGGCCTTGTACAGTGGACAACCTGCACAGATATACCAGCTGCTCCATCTGGTCCCCTCCTTCATAGCACTTCTCATGACTGAGTAGCAAATTGTGGGACTTTGTTTGATCAGCATTTATTTACCCCTGCATCATAAGCTCCTTACAGGCAAGAATCGAATCCCCCACACTGGACCAGGTGTTCAGAAACTGCCACCTCCCTGTCTGCCTCTAGGTCGGCTCACTGTGACCTTGGGACCCAACACAACCTTCTGGTCAGGCAGCTGATGGGGACATGTGCCAGGCTGCAGCAGCTCAGGTCAGCACCCAGAAACACTGTCTGGGGTCCTGGGTTGTCTGGTTGACCCCAGTGCCTACTCCAGCCACATGTGCCCTGGCATTTTCACGTGCCTATGTTGGAAAGGATCTCACTTGGCCTGTTGGGGGGAAAATCCAGAGTGGCATAGGGGAGCTCTGGCATGGTCCTCTCCCCTCCCGTGGCCTCCCCATCTGTGTGTGATGACCCCTGAGGTACGCCCAGCCTAAAATCCACTGGAATGTACCTGGGCCTTTTCAGCTTTTCCCAGGTTAACCTCTGTGATGACGGTGATGCCAGTTCCCTGCTGCTACAAGACCTCCTGCTGTCCCTCTCTGAGCTGAAGAAATTCCGGTATGCAGACCATAGTTCTACTCAGGCCCCTTTGCAGATCTGCCCTGCACCCCACCTCTGTTATCCCACAGCCCTGGGCTCAGAGGACTCTGTGTCCCATCCTGTGGGCAGATACCACAGGAGGTGCTGGAAATGAGGTTAGGGGTTCACAGTCATAGACATTACCTTAGTAACACTGAGCCACATGATGAGGAAGTCATGCCCTTTTCAATGCTCTTTCTTTTTTTTTTTGCTTTTCTTTTGGAATCATTGCAAACTGAGAAAGAGTTGCAAGAAGACTGAGAAGAACTTCTACCTACCAGTAACCCAAATTCACCCCTTGTCAACATTTTTTCACAGTTGCTCATTTTTTCCTCTCCCTCCTTCCTCCCCCACCTCCTCTCTCCCTCTTTCTTTTTCTGAATCATTTGAAAGGCATGCCACTTGACCCCTTCATGTGTCAGTGAATTTCCTAAGAACAAGGACATTCTCTTCCATATTCCAGTAAAATTATAAAATTCAGAAATTTTAACAATGATACACTACTATTTTCTCAACTACTGTTTATACTCCAGTTTTACCAATTGTCCCAATAATGTGGTGTTTTACTTTCTTTTTCCCAGTCCTGGATCCAATCCAGGATCACATGCTGCATTTAGTGTCATTTCTCTTTAGTCTCCTTCAGTCTGTAACAGTTCCTCGGCCCATCTTTGTCTCTCACGGCATTGTCTCTGACATTTACAGGCCAGTTATCTTGTAGAATGTCCTTCAACTTGGGTTTGGCTGACATTTCCTCAAGCTTAGATTTAGAGTCTGCATTTTGGGCAGGAACATCACACAAGTGATGCTGTGTTCTCAGTGCCTCACCTCAGGGGCACGTGGGTCTACGTGTCCGTCTGCTGGTGATGTTAACTGTGATTGCCTGGTGAAGGTGGTCTCTGCCAGGTTTCTACGCTTGCAAAGTTACTGTTTTTTCCTTTTGTAATTAATATGTATCTTGTGGAGAGATACTTTGAGTCTATGTGAATATCCTCTTCCTCAAACTTTCACCCACGAATTTTAGCATCCATTGATAATTCTCACCTAAATCAATTATCAGTGTGATGGTTGCAAAATGAAGCTTTTCTAAGTTTCAATTTTCTTTTAATTCATCTAATTTCATCAAGAAGAAGCTCTCTGGGGCCAGTAGATCTTTGACACCTCTTCAATACTTGCTTTGAAGGTGCAGAGCTGTGATAAACAGCAGTAGCTAGCTAGACTTTACAGTGATACCCAACTATGTTATAAGTTGTGAAATTGCTACCTGAATGATTTTGGTTTAGGAGATACTCAACTAGTTCATGCTCCTGCCTCCAAGCTATATCTTGGCTAAATGAGTCCACAGGGAAGAGATTTATGAAGGGAAGGAGGCTCCTTTCCACTGTTCCCAGGAACCACATCCCTACACCACGTCCTTGCCCTTCGCCAGCAGCATTCAGAGCTCTTGAGACCCAGGGCTACTGCCTGACCCGCTGCCTTCCCTTTGACCCCCATCAGGCTGACCTCCAGCTGTGTGAGCGCTGAGGGCCTCGCCCACCTGGCATCTGGTCTGGGCCACTGCCACCACTTGGAGGAGCTGGAGTGAGTCACAGGGAGAAGGGAACTGGGAAGGGATGGCCCAGTGGAGGGCTTGGGGTGGAGAGGACAGTTGGGCCTTTGGTAAGGCAGACAGTGGGACTTCAACCTGTTCCTTTCCTCCCTGACACAGTCAGGCAGTTCTGGGTGTGGAGCCTGGACAGCAACGACGGTCTAGGATCTGCAGACCCAGAGTCGACCTCCTGGGGGACCGAGGGAATGAGGGGAGCTGACAAGGTGGCTCAGCTCCAGGGGCTGGCCAGGCTTGTCTACTTCTCACCTGTGTTGGTATTCTCCAGATTATCGAACAGCCAGTTCTTTGAGGAGGCCACTGAGGTTCTGATGGGTGCCCTTGAGGGGAAGTGCAGGCTGAAGAGGCTCAAGTAAGTGGTGGTGGTGGGTAATGGGGGAGTGGGAGGAGCATGCCAAGGAAACTTTGCATCTCTTGTGAACACAAACTCTCAAGTCTCTGGATGGACCCAGGTGAGCTGAATGCCCTCCCAAGACCTTTTATTTCCTTGCCTGGTTCTGAGAGCCATATAGAAAACAGAACACACAACTCAAACCAACACAAGACAGAGATTTATGGGCTTATGTCATGGAAAATTACAAGGCAACTGACTTCAGGCATGATTGGATCCAGGGGCTCTATATTTATCGAGTTTCACTCTATTTCTCTCTTGCCCTTGCGCTCTTGGGCAGGCTGTCCCTGCAGCTGCAGGCTTACTTTCTTCAAGCTCAGTGGAAAGGGAGCACAGTTCTCCCCGTGGTTCCACCAAAGGGCCTAGGCTGAGTCTCACTGGACTAGCCTGGGTCACCTGCCCATCCCTATAACCAATCACTGTGCATCTGAGCATGAAATTGTCTTGTTGGCCAGATCTGGGTCACATGGCCGCCCTAGTGTCTGGTATTAGATAGAGGGGTGGTGTTTCGGGGTGCTATTAACAGAAGAAGGTGAAACAAACTCTGGGCAGAAAAAACCCACAGATGTCCACTTTCATTTGTCCACAGTTGTTTCCTCAGTAACTGGAACTTTAACTCTCCCCCATAATTTGGAGTCACCGATTTCCTAGAAATGCCAGAAACAGCTTCAGTCTAAAAAGTCCCCATCATGCACAGATTCCTGTTTAAACTGTATCTAAACAGAAAATTGAACAGTGCATCTTCTGCTTTTAATCTCCAAGTTCTTCTGATGACTAAAAATACACACTGGTTATAAAAGTTCCATCATTACAGAAATATATAACAAAGAACATGAAATCCCCTGGAGATGACATCCCCTGAGAAAACTTCTGTGAACAAACAGTTTGTGAATGTTCCTCCAGATTTTTTTTCTGCATATGTTTTGAGTGCAGTTTAAAAGTAGCCTTGTGTCCTTTTATCCCTTAACCATGAAATTCTCCCCCTTTGCCCGGCTTTTCTTGTCTTGGGGAGAGAGTCAAGTGGGGGGCAGGGAGAGTTTAGGGAGACCTTTGACCACAGACCCCTTCTGTCTTCCCACCAAGCTGTTTATTTGGCTTCTCCCCTGTGCCTGCACCTCTGCTTGGCCTTCTGGAAGCTTTTGTTTGGGGTGAGGGGGAGTTTGGAGGCCCAGTGAGGTCATTCGTTGGCTTATTCATGCATTTGACAAAGATATATTGGCCTGGGCACCTGGGCCAGGGCAGGAACTGGTGGTACTGAAGCATCCATGCTCCACCGCACTCGGCCTGGGGGCCTTGCCCTTCTGATTTCCCAAGCACCTAGTGCTGCTGCTTAACTCTTGCTGCCTCAGTTATCCTATCTATCAAATGGGCATAGTGATATCTTCCCTATCTGAAGGAAGGGAAGGGCTCAGAGGCCTCTTCCAGTTTCAGATCTGTCATTTCCAAGGGTCCCTTCCCACGGGCAGCTCCCCATAAATCCAGCTGGATCCTTCCAGCCATCCGCCTGTGATGAAATGGTTAGGGGCATGGACCCTGGTTAGGAGCCTCACTGTCTGGGGTCAACTCTTGGTAAGTTGACCAACTATTCCAGTTTGCCTGGGCCTGTCCCACTCTTAGCACCGAAAGTCCCCTGTCCTTCAGTTATAGACAAACCAGGACAGTTGATCCCTTCTTGGTTCCACCTCTTAGTGCATGAGCTTGTTCAAGTCCCTTAACTGTTCTGTGCCTCAGTCTCCTCATCTTAACTTTGGAGATAAGAGCAGTCCCCACCTCCTAGGATTGTTGTTGGGGTTAAAGGAGTAATAAGAGTTAAATGCTCAGAGCAGAGTCTGGCACAGAGTTCATATCCCACGAGTATTGGCTATTGTTATCACTCCCCTCCCCTGCCCAGGCAGGGACTTAAGGAGCATGATCCCATGGGTGACATGTGGTTGGGGCCCAGGAATGGGAGTCTTTGGGTTCTGTTCCTGATGCCGCCACTTTCTGTGTGTGACCTTGAGCAAGTTCTCTAATTCTCTGAGCCTTAGTGTTCCTCATCTGTAAATGGGATGATGTCCCTGAGCCCCGTGTTGGGCCCATATTATATGCTGGATGTGTGATTGCTGTTATTACTGATTGTTAGTCTGGGGCTTTCTGTGTGTGACCTTGAGCAAGTTCTCTAATTCTCTGAGCCTCAGTGTTCCTCATCTGTAAATGGGATGATGCCCCTGAGCCCAGTGTTGGGCCCATATTATATGCTGGATGTGTGATTGCTGTTATTACTGATTGTTAGTCTGGGTTCAGCATGATTCAGAGCATAGAGCTGCTGCCGGCATGACCTCAACAATTCATGTAGAGAAACAGCATTTGGATCTCCCAGTGCAGTTTGTTTTGTACAGTTTTTACACTGTGTGGATGTAAATGGCTGTCTTGGAGGTCCTGGGCATGCTAAGCATAGAGGCCTCAAACCCCTAGGGTGGACAGGGCCTCAGTCTGTATCTGGGACCCCACCCCAGATGTCTCACCCCAAGTTCATCTGGCCTCCTCTCCTCTAGGCTCAGTCACCTTCCACTGGGCGGCTCTACCCTGGCCACACTCACTCAAGAACTAAGCTGCATGACCCTCCTGCAGAGCCTCTGGTGAGTGACTGAGTGGCCCATGGAAATGAGTGGGAGGACACACTCCCCAGCTCTGTTGGGAGCACCTGCTCAGGAAGCACTGGAGGCACCTCCTTGTGGCCCACTGCTCTTGCCTTCTAATGCCACCAGCTTCCTCCTGGTTACAAGTGGCCTACAGGAGTTAGGCCCAAGTCCTAGAACAACCCTTCATATGCACGCAGTTCATCTTGGGTTCTTGTTAAAATGCTAATTCTGATCCCATGGGTCTGGATTGCCTGGATTCTGCATGTCTAACAAGCTCCCGGGTGACACCAGTTGTGGGGGCCAGAGTACTTCGGGTAGTGAGAGTCTAAACTCAGATCTGGTGACCTTGATATTCTCCCCTTGTGATTTTCACTCCCTATCCACTTTGATAAACAAATTTGAA